ATAATCACTATTCTTTCTTTTATCTTTTAGCTTATCATTAACAGTCCCCTTTTATAATCTTGAGCAAGTTCTGCTAGAAAAGCTTCTCTTGCAGCATTCGACTTCTCTGTGGCATCACTCTCTGCCAAAACTTCTAGGAGTGCCTAAAGAAACGTCAAAATAGGGGAAAATAAGATATCATGCATGGACATGGTAACAATCAATAGAAACTCATAAATATATGAACCTGCATGAAATACTTTACTAGAGGCACAACTATGAGTCCAAAATCAAGTAAAGAGTAAGATACATGAAGTATGATGACAATCTTACGGGTATTGTTGTTACAGCAGCTGGAATTTGCTGTTTTGACTAATAGTAGTTTGTAGTTTGGGTTGAATTTGCTTCAATTTAAATTAAAGCCACGAACCTGAGAGTTACCTTGTGAACATTACCAAGGAGGGCGGATGAAATACGCTCTATTCAGCATTAAGATAGACTACCCCCACCCCTAATAAAGTTTACTTCTGGGGATTATGTTAAGTTCGCAAGTGGAACTAGGGAAAGAGGGCAGAAGCTCAAGCTAATTTATTAAGTCAAGTGGAACTTTTGGTTGGTCGCTATATAGAAATTTGAATTTTTGGGTAGTTAGTGACACCCAAATAAGATGTTTCTCATAAATTAGAAGAAGTATAAAGGATCATGTGGCTTGTGATGACGTAGGGTCCTAGGACCATGTGTAAGCCATGTATGGCTTCTTTGTCTGAACAACCATAGTCAAAAGTCCACGCATGACCTAACATAAAAAAAGAAAACAAAAACCATGACACAAGGGTATAATTGTAATTTTAACTAATTTAGTTAAAAAAAAACAAGATTACTCACTGATTGTGAACTTCTGAAACTTGAGCATGTCCATTACACCAACATGAGCAAGTGCACCTCCGAATAGATCGGGCCTCTGTCATAACCAAAAAAAATGTTTTATGAATAATAACAAAGAATAATTTATTAAAGATTTAAAATTTTATTGAATTAGCATAATACATGATTAATGCAAGCTCCAACAAGTAGGCCACTATTGCTTCCACCTTCAATTGCCAATATTTTAGGGTTTGTATACCCTGAAGATGCAGGACTGAGCTTAGATTCCAACTACTGCATTCCAATTACAATTCGCATAATTCTTGCATCAATTTTGCTGAGCTGTATCTTACAAAAAAAGTAAGATGAAGTATAGATACTACACATAAATATAAAATATACATCTCTATAAATCAAACTAACCTCAATTAACAACTGTTCTTTCTAATTCTGGATTGCAACTTCTATACAAGAATCCACTTGATGCAGATAGTCATCTTCACCGGATTCCAAGTCTCATAGATGAAAATTCACAAACCCAAACTGGTTAACATTCAAAGATTCAGCTTCTTTTAGAACATTTTCTAAGGCATCCACCTCAAATTTGTTGGTAGGTGGCATAGCATCATCACATCTCACCATAAGATCTTCAAGCTCTTAGAATGACATAATTAGTGTTGGATACAAATATTAAAAAGAGGGAGGATTGAAGGAAGAGAAATACAGACCATAATATGGAGCCAGTGGTATCATTTTGTAGAGCCAGGTGAACAACACCAACTTCAGGAGAATTATGTAATTTCTCATGCAATATTCTAACAGGCAAGGAAAGCTGTCTGGGGATAGTGGGTGATTATGGAGGATTGGAAGGCTTTTTCAAAGCACAATATTATAATAAAGAGAAATCAAAGTAGAATGCTACAATAATTATACCTGTATTTGGACCCCTTGACTTCAAAGAAGGCTGAGAGGTGAGATTATCTAGCAACTTTTCCTCACTATGGTTCAGCAACAATCTTTCCACATGCTTTTTTAAAAGCTGTAGAATGGTTCTGGATATACTCCTCTGTAGCTGCCTCCAACTTAAGCCAGACTGTGTGGTCCGTTTCATCCAACTCCATATCACAACGTTCATCAACTGTGAAAAACAACAGAAAGTATGCTATCAACTTAGCTATTTAAGTCATTCATGATATGTTGTAGCATTAATTTCACATAATAAACAGATTTAACATAACATTAGTTTCACCTGGATTGGAACAGAACAACAACCAATTGAAACAAGAGCGTCAATTTTTGCATCTGGACATAGAAGTTGTGTTTCACGTATTGCAAATATTGTAGGGTTATTTGCCACAATAGCACTATCTTGCCACCTAAATAGACCTAGAAAAGATAGATGATATATATATATATATATATATATATATATATATATATATATATATATATGAAAAATGTCAGCTTTTTTATATTTTTACAAGTTACTCAACAAGATGTTACAATTATAAGTTCAAGGTTTAGAGTTTAGGGTTTATACCATCAGAGTAATCATCAAGATAATATGGAGCAGCAGATGATGCTCTTATAGCTTCCGATAAATCATGTCTATAGCTTCCCATGTAAGCACTCCTTTTATACCCAACTTGAGCACCAGTAGTTGTAGTTGTTGAAAAATTATCTGACATTGTCAAAGGAACTTCTTATGTGCCAGCAGGGTACTAGATTTTAAATAGATATAATGTCAATGATTTTTTATTTTCCATTAGGGAGAAAATTTAATTAATAATTAGTGGAACATAAGAACCTGATAATTACGGAATATAAACGGCTGAGCTGGTGCCACGTTAACTATAGTTGATACAATAGAAACTTTTGGAATCCTTTTTATTTATGAATCAATTAAAAGATCTCCATCTTCATCTACACATATATCCTTTAATAGCCTCTCAAATTGATTGGCACTATGTTGGACAAAATAATCATGCTCCTTTCATCTACACATATCTCTTTTAATGTCTAAAATGAGAATCTGATCATAATATATAATCAAAGAAAAGTTAAAAGAGTCACCAAGATATGCATGTATTATATATATAGTATTTGGCACCTAGCAAAGATATAGACATAGACGAAACTACTTGATTTCCATTAAAGGTCACCACAGTCACACCAACTAAGGGTCCATCTTTTGGAACTACTCCTACTGGGAAATATATATGGATGTCCCGCCCTTCAAGTAGATTCCCTTCTCCTTCTCCACAACCTAGATTAAGCTTTGCTGCCCTTGCTCTTACCTAACAATAAAATTAAGTAAATAAACAAACACACACTTATATAGATAGCAATTGAAGAGGAGATACCAAGTCAAAACAAAAGAAACAGTGTAACAGGTTGCCCAAAAACAAGAAAACCCACATTGCTTACCAATTTTAAGAAATAATGTGTATAGAAAGAGAAAACAGGAGATATTGAAGGAGCTCGTGCTGCATTTCAACTTTGTGATACTTCTGAATCAGATTCATATTTCATTGAAACCCCAATAAAAGAGGCTAATATGTTACAGCCTCAGTTACCGAACTCGATATATATATATATATATTTCAACTTGTTGAAATTTGTTCAGAGATTAAATACTTCACAATGGAGGACGAGAAAAAAATAGATTATAATATTCACGTATATATAATTGGAAAATATATATATAGAAAATTCGAATAAGCATCAATTCAACCTGTAGTTGCTGTTGGGACAATAGGAGAAGAGGGAGAAGATGAAATTGAGATCACATAGTCTTCTACGAGAAGATGAAATCGAGGTCAGGTGAGCACGAGATCGTCGATGAGGAGAAGTGAGCAAGGGGTTGCAGGAAGGTGAGGCTAGGTCGCCGGATCGATGCTACAGAGCACTGAGTGAGTGAGTGTTTTGAGTCTTAAAAAATCCTTAGAATTAATATCAATATCGGTCCCTGTGATTTTGTTATTCGACCCTTTTATGTTCACCATCTCCCTCTTCCTTCTGCACTATTAGATGAAGAAAGGTGAAATGAGATAGCATTCGATGTTGATTTTATGGTAGTCGATGGTTCGATGGTTTGCAGGGAAGATGGTTTGAGGTGTAATGGCACAAGCTGATGCTTCTGGATATATTGATGGTGGTTGCTGTTACGGTAGAGATATCAATGATACCATTGCTTCAGTAGAGATATCAATGGTACCGTTCTCTGAAGCAGCAACCATGAAGACGAAAGCCCTTGGGCTTTTTCTTGCTAGTTTGGGATTTAATAGGCGGGTGAAATCCCGCCTTTAAAACATGTGTTTCATTAAAATTATAAAGTGACACATTTAGAAGACGCACATTTTATGAAAGGCGCCCTCCGCATTTTTATTATTATTATTTTATTTTTTTCTATTTTTGATACTAATTTTAGGGCACGCAAAAATGTGTGTCCACTATCATTCAAATTTTGCAAAATTGACGTTATTTTTTAGGGCACACACAAATGCGCGTCCTCTATCAGCGAGTGTCATTGTTTGCGCGTCATTAAAGGCCTGTTTTCTAGTAGTGCTTGTTGCCATAATTAGTCTATAGTATGGTTATGGAACTCGCAATTTGGATAACAGAGATTTACTTTTTAGTAATAATGTTTTTAGTAACTAGTTTACTTTGTATTTATTAGTTATATATACCTGTTATAACGAATACATTTTCAGTGTACATCTTTTACATTACATTTTGGATTTGTGAACTAACATACACTTTACAAGGATAACTAGGTTTTCAGTATACATCTTTCACATTAGGAAAATATGGTATTTTCCTGGGATAACAATTGAACATAACCAGAACCGGGTAACATAATAGATAACTAAACTTTACATATAAGAAAATACGAGATTTTCTTGGGTCGTAACATTTTCAGAAACCAAAAAGGAAACTCGTACATTTTCAGAAAACAAAACCGCTTATGAACTCACCAGCTTTAACCTGATTTTCAAACTGCTTGTATTCTCAGGTCCGCGTTAGACAGGTACCCGATGATCCTTTTGTCGAGGACGGAGTGCATCAAAGACACGTCTTGCTTTCTTATATATACATATGTATAACACTGTACAACTTTACTTTTGAACAAATGCAAATTTCATATGTAATGTAATGGTTGTTTACTTTGCTTACTATGTGCATTGGATTTGATACTCAACGTGGAGTCCGCCCTGGAAATGTTTCCGCCTTGGTTTTCGGGGTGTGACAGTTTGTGGCCCGGTGGAAATCTACCCGATACCGATGTTAAACGAAGCTTATGGTCGTACCCGATTAAGTTGTCGTAACCTAACGTGGTCGTGAATTAGAAACTTTTAAAAAGAATATCGGGTGTTTCACGTGTTTCTAATGCATTTTAACACTCATGAAGTCCTAATAAAAGTCTCAATTCAATTAACCTAATTCAAAACGTTAACGAAACAATTGAAATACAAACGGGTTTTATTAACGAAAACAGGTTACAATGACGGAATAAATTTCAGGTTGTCACAATTCAGTTCGGGCTGTTCGATTGGTATTGTAGTTTCCCCTCGATTCTTTTGAAGCAAACATCTAGTTTCCTCCATTTGACAATCCAACATCATTTGGATCATTGCTTGTACTCCTGTCATCATGATGGGCTTAGGAGTGGCTACCACAATAGGCATTTGCTCAATCACTGGAGGTTGATTCCTATTTCCGTTCGCGTTCCCAACTCCACTTCAGGTTCTTTCTATTTCGATCTATACACCAATTCAGACGTTCGGTGTGTAATGATGAGAATTAAGATAGGAAAGATTTTATTTACGATCGATGTGTAAATCTCCCTATCACTCCAAAAAGTTATATGTCAATTCTAATACCGTAATTAAACGTTTAGAAACCTAAACACATAAAGTTTCGAGATCTGGTCGGCAACAAAAAGTAGATTTGATCATATAATGCATATCATAAATCATTTTAGCACACAAAAGCATGTTAGGTATTTTCCCTAAATAAGCCAGTGCTTGTGTCTATTTAGGTGTATTACCTAAATTTTATTAGAAACACTCCTCACAATCATTGATTAGCATTCTAAGTTTAAGTCTAGAAATAAATCCATATTTCTAGTTCGCTTAAACTAATGCTCTGATACCAACTATGACCTCCCCATTTTCACGGCCAGAAAAGACCGATAAATATATTATCAAAGCATTTCCGAAGAACTGTATTTTATTCCTTTTTAAATCATTGGGATTTCATCGTCAATACAGAAACATAAGCATAAACAAACATTACATTTATTTACACTAGTGATCTACATCTCCTTAGTCTCTCAGTATAATGTAGTTTCATATCGACACCTATGATAAAAATAAACTGAGTGGGTCGGGATAGGAAACCATGTGAGTACATAGGGATTTCAATCCCACAATATTTTATCATATATATATATATATATATATATATATATATATATATATATATATATATATATATATTAGAACCAACAAAATATACAATTTCACCATATATAAGCAATTTTTACCCCACCCAACCAATCCTCACAACGACACGATCTATACTCTCATATCTAAAATTAAGCTATTTACCTAATCCATACTCCCAGAATGGGTATATCTAATCCATACTCCCAGATGAATATTTGTGCCAGTTCCTTACTCTCGGACAAGGGACAATTAACTATGTCTGAATCCATACTCCCAGATTACTGTCAAATAACTATGTCCTATCCATATTCCCGGACTAAGGACAACTAATTATGTCTTAATCCACACTCCCGGATTAATGACAATTGACTCTGTCTGAATCCATACTCCCGAATTAATGAAAACTGACTATGTCCAATTCATACTCTTGGACTACGGACAATGACTATGTCTAATCCATGCACCCGAATCAATAAGATATTTTAAAGTTCTATTCTCTGTGTATAACTCACTCGTACTCATAAGAAGATACTACCCAATATTCCATGTAATTAATTTAGGTTTACTCTTTATCCTAAATTATCATATATAATCAAGTATGTTCTTTAACACATATTTTAAGCAAAATCAAATAACTCGCACATAAAAATATATTTAATACTTTAATCAATACATGTATTAAAATCATGTTCATGAAATTGACTATGCACTCACCTGAAAAGGTGGTGACTCGGTACTCGGACGACACTCTTTTACTTTAAACATCTCCTTTGACAGAACCTAGTATCTTTACCACTAGAGTTTAGTCTAATGCTCGACGAGACTAATTAATAGTCTAACTATTATTACTATTATATAAGTGTTAACACAATACTTTTCACCCACTATGTACAGACAGGGATCAGACATGGAACACTGGAGGGCAGGACCATGTTGGCATATAGCACTTCTGAAATCCAGCAACCCAAGCGGCCCTCCAAACTAGATTCCCTGTACCGCAAGTGGTTAGAAAGGTATTATAACGAAACTTATATAACTCATAATAATAGCTCAAATATTTATTATAAGGTTCTAATAATATTACTATATTTAAATAAAAACTACATTTAAAATAACATAGGCATATCTTACCAACGAGCGGGTTTGACTAGAAGTCGAGCTCTGTAGAGGCAGAACTTCCGAGCTGAAAGCTCTTCTTCTCGGAGCCGTCTAGCGCTTCAAGGCTTTCCTCTAGCGCT